TACAAGCACTTGTGCCAAACAGGAGCTAATACACTTCTCCACTGAGGTCTCATTGATTTGCAATGGCATGCTTACTGCCATTGCCTTCCTCGGTCAAATCTTAATTATGACTTTTAAAGTCAGAGCTCAGTCATTTGATATAGAACAGCCAAATGGCTTATGCACTGGCATAAGCTACAGATATAAAATGGTTTGCTCTTGGAGTAGCATACTGCAAATGGGAAACATTTTCCGCTGCCAACATCTTGCACATGGGACATTGTATTTCTAAAAGGAGGAGGATGAATTCCATTTATCATTTTCTTATGAAAAAAATGAATGGGCTCTCTGATGCACCCTAAATGTTAAATGAGCTATTTTATCCTTGAGAAAGGTTCAGATTACTTAGCATTACATTCAAAAGTTAGTTCACCCAACACTTTGATTTTATTGCATAAGTCCTTTTGTATGAGCAGTTCCACACTGCATTATAGAGTAAGAAAGCACCAATTTGTTTCTGGGAAATTAAACTTCCATTTTAAAGTGAAAGGCCTAACTGATCTTTGAATGAGGTAGTTCAATTGCCAAAAAAAAGGAAACAATATAGAGCTTAGTATTAGCTGAGTGAAGTGAGGCCCTACATCCAACTCAATGTTATTTTTGTCTATCTGCCAATAAGTAACATGGTAACATTGGAAAAGTACCACTAGTCACTTCTAACATTTCAGGAAATATTTTAGGCACTGATAACCAAAACCCTCTTGTTTATTCATGAGCTGTCAAAGAGAGGATCCTCTTGCTAACGGTGGATTCCAATACCTGCTCCTTGTCTTTGACCCCCACATCTACCCTGCACTGCCCCACTCAGTTCTTCACTCATGAATCAGGAGCATCTCTTTGAAGATGTGGCCAATTCCCATATACAGTATAACACAGGGACTACTCTTACCTGGGCAATAGTGGGAGCTAAAGATATAGCTGCCTCAGCTGCAAAACCTACAGCAACAAAGTAGATACTTTGAATACAACGTCTGAAAGTTTAAGATTTGGGCACCAGAGATCTTGCTCTGCCATTATACAGGCCCCCTCTACACATTACTGTATAGGTGTTGCACAATTGACTGCTTAATTGTGCAATTAACTGAGACCAGCTACATATGCAAAGTGCTTAACATACCATAAGATCCAACAAGCAATTAAATTAGACCTTGAAAATGCATACTAACTCTGTAGCTGGTTGCTATCCAGCTTTAATTTGTATGTGGAGTAGTGTCTGCCTCTGTGGCTGAGGGCATGCTATACCCCATCGGCTGGGGGAGATCTCAGCTACCATTATCTCCCAAACTTTGGAAAGTGTGGGGTGCTCCATCAGCTGGAAACCCCATCAGCTGAGGGGCTCCCAGCCATGAGAACTTGCTTCTTGACAGTATTGGGAAAGCCCAGGACCAGACACCCCCGGCACCACCAAAGATACTTCCTACCATGTACATTTAGTGTGGCAGGAGTCACAATTATGTAGATCTTGTGTTAGATCCTATCAGCCCTTTACCTGCATGCATAGAGGAGAAAATTACACAGTATACCTACATAATACAAGGAAGCATCATTCAGAGACACTTGTTCTCATTCTCCAAGTACTCTAGAGTAACATTTATGTCAGTGCAGAACTGCATATGGGTTAATTAGCTCTCTTGAGAAGCAGGGCATCATAGCCTGGGCATTGCACTGCACTAATGCAACAACACTGTTTCTGGTTCCAGAGTGAGAGTATGCTAGGGTATGCAGAGCTAGCTCCGGTATTTTCACAGTGTTGTCTTGTGCCACAAAGACATACACTGTAACATATAGAATCATCTAGTCCATATAGGTCATCTAGTCCAACCCCCTGGTCAAAGGACCACCCCTAACTAGATCATTCCAGCCAGGGCTTTGTCAAGCCTGGCCTTAAAAACGTCCAAGAATGGAGATTCCACAACATAGTGAGAAACTTTTTCCTAATATCCAAACTAAACCTCTCTTGCTGCAACTTGAGACTACTGCTCCTTGTTCTGTCATCTGTCACTACTGGGAACAGTCTAGCTCCATCCTGTTTGTAACCACCCTTCAGGTAGTTAAAGGCTGCTATCAAATCCCTTCTAGGTCTCCTCTTCTGCAGACTAAATAAACCCAGTTTCCTCAGCCTCTCTTCATAAGTAATATGCCCCAACACTCTAACCATTTTCAGTGCTCTCCCCTGGATTCTCTCCAACTTGTCCACATCCTTTCTATAGTGAGGGGCCCAAAACTGTTCACAATACTCCAGATGTAACCTCACTAGTGTAGAACAGAGTGGAATAATTATTTCCCTGGATCTGCTGGCAACACTCCTACTAATGCAGCCCAGTATGCTGTTAGCTTTCTTGGCAACAAGAGCACACTGCTGACTCATATCCATCTTACTGTCCACTGTAACTCCCAGGTCCTTTTCTCCAGACCTGCTGCCCTGCCACTCACCATCCAGCCAGTACTGGTGCATGGGATTTTTTCATCCTAAGTGCAGTACTTTACACTTGTCCTTGCTGAACCTCATGAGATTTCTTTTGGCCCAATCCTCCAATTTGTCTACGTCAATCTGAACCCCTGCCCTATCCTCCAATAGATCTGCTACATCCCCCAACTTGGTATCATCCATGAACTTGCCAAGGGCACGTTCCATCCCATCTTCCAGATCGTTAATGAAGATATTGAATAAAACTGGCCCCAGGACCAACCTCTGGGGCACTTCATTTCATACTAGTTGCCTGCTAGACACTGAGTCATTGATAACTACCTACTGAGCCCAACAATCCAGCCAGCTTTCTATCCACCTTACAGTCCATTCATCCAAGCCATACTTCCTCAGCTTGCTTGTAAGAATGCTGTGGGAGATGGTATCAAAAACCTTGCTAAAGTCAAGGTATATCACATCCACAGCTTGCCCTACACCCACAGAGCCAGTTATCTTATCATAGAAGGCAATAAGGTTGGTCAGGCATGACTTGTACTTGGTGAATTCATGTTGATTGTTCTTAATCACCTTATTCTTTTCCAAGTGCATAGAAATAAATTCCTTGAAGACCTGTTCCATGATTTCTCCAGGGACTGAGGTGAGGCTGACTGGTCTGTAGTTCCCTAGATCCTCCTTCTTCTCTTTCTTAAACATGGACACTATATTTGCCCTTTTCCAATCACCTGGTACCTCCCCCAGTCATCATGAGTTTTCAAAGATAATGGCCAGTAGCTCTGCAATCACATAAGCCAATTCCCTCAGTTCCCTCGGATGAATTGCATCCTGACCCATGGACTTATAGACATCCAGCTTTTCTAAATAGTCCCTAACTTGTTCTCTCACCACTGTGGGCTGCTCACCTCCTCTACAAACTGTGCTGCCAGGTGCAGTAGTCTGGGAGCTGACCTGGCCTGTGAAGACCAAGGTGAAAAAGAGCACTGAGTACTTCAACCTTTTCCTCATCAGCTGTCACTAGGTTGCCTCCCCCATTCAGTAAAGGACCCGCACTTTCCCTGTCTTTCCTCTTGCTGCTAACATACTTCTAGAAACCCTTCTTGTTATCCTTCACATCTCTTACTAGCTGCAACTCCAGTTGCACTTTGGCCTTCCTGACTTCATTCCTGCATGCCCAAGCAATGCTCTTATACCCCTTCCAAGTTGTTTGTCCAAGCTTCCACTTCTTGTAAGCTTTCTTTTTGTGTTTAAGCTCACCAAAGAGTTCTCTGCTAAGCCAACCTGGTTGCTTGCCACATCTGCTACTCTTCCTGCACATCAGGATGGTTTGATCCTGCATCCTCAGTAACACTTCTTTCAAATACAACCAGCTCTGCTGGACTCCTTTCCCCCTCAGACTGGCTTCCCAGGGGAACCTGCCTATCAGTTCCCTGAGGAAATCAAAGTCTGCATTTCTGAAGACTAGGTTCCATACTCTGCTGCTCTCCTTTCTTCCTTTTGTCAGGATGGACAAACATCCTGAACTCAATCATCCCATGGTCACTGCTACCCAACTTTCCATCCACTTCTACATCCTCCATCAATTCTTCCCTATTTGTGACCAATAGGCCCCTAATTGGCCTCTCCAACACCTGCACCAGGATGTTTTCTCCAACACTCTCCAAAAGCTTCCTGTACACTGCTGTATTGCCTTCCCAGCAGAGGAAAGCCTCCCATGAGAACTAGGGCCTGAGATCTGAAAACTTCTACCAATTGTCAGAAGAAAGCCTCATCTCCCTCATCCTCCTCTTCTGGTGGTCTATAGCACACATCCACCATAACATCACTCTTGTTGCTATCCACTCTAACCTAAACCCAGAGACTTTCAACAGACGTATCTCCAATTTCATACTGGAACCCTGAGCAATCATTCAGCTTTTTTTACATTCAGTGCAAATCCTCCTCCTCTTTATGCCATGATTAGGGTGACCATATGTCCTGGATTAGCCGGGACAGGTTTTATATTTCATAGGTTGTCTCAGAGTCCCAGCCGCTGGATAAAATTTAAGCAAAATCACAGGTTGGTGGGATTGGCAAAGATCCCATGGGTCGGAGCTCTGTGTTCTATACCCTCCTGCCCAGCCCCACTTCTGGGAGCCATGAGGTGGAAAGAGACAGAGACAGAGAGGGAGACAGTGTGTGTGTGCGTGCGTGCACATGCACACACACCCCTAAAATAATTATGGATTTCCCTAAAATAATTATGGTCATCCTAGCCATGATGGCACTTAATCGTTTTGTGGATTCAGCCTGAAATAACTTCATCAAGGCAGCCTCTAATAAGGAGTCCTAGATCAGTGTTTTAATCACTGGTATAAATCTCTACTAACCCCACCAAGGGTAGGGATGCCAAGATATGTGTGTGTGTTTGTTTTTACAGTTGATTTACAACTTTTTTTTTTTCAAGAAGTTGTCTTTTCAAAATGAAAAGCATAACTATTACTGGTGATTTTGCTGTTTAACCAAAGTAAACAAAATAGGAAAACATGTCCAAGCTTACCTGAAATGTACCTTTCTTCAAATAATAAGGTCTATAGATCTGTTGCTATAATTATTTCAGCTTGCATGCTTGGGAGCAGCATCAGGATCACCAGTCACTGGCAGGAGGGAAACATACCATGTCCTCAAATTCCTAAAAATTAAAATAGCTTTCATAACCATTATAATTCAATCTACTTTTCCCACCGCACATATTGTATTTATTAAAGACATTGAAAAAATATAACTGTCTCTGCTGCTGCAAGCCAGGGAGATAATTTTCCTTAATGATCCAAAAACTTTCAATACCCACTTTCCTCTCTACTTTGGTCTGGTCAAACTTTCAATTTGTAGAATGGAACAGAGCTGCAGACCTTATCACTTGAAGAAAATAGATATTCAGGTAAGTCCAGATAAATGTTCTTAGAGTTTACTGCGGTCAGATCCATAGATTTGTTACAATCTGTTTACCAGCAGTGACACCTCCAGGTACGGTTTTACCAAGTGGTCTCCAAAAATAAAATTAACCATATAAATATCCATTTAATCTGCTCTTTGCTGGGGTACTACAGCACTGAAAGACCTATGCCAAAATTGCTATTGAATGGCCAATTTGTATAGTTGGGTGAATTTATGTATGGGCGGCCACATCATCTACCTGAAGATAGTTTACAGAAAACATACGCTTTGCCCACAAAACTGACAATATTCTTACTGACATTTGATATAGTAGTAAGGTCTCAAGAATTTTCCACATGAACTATATTAAAATACATGCGAATACCTTTTTCCCTTTGAAGCTGAATTACAGACACAAATAAATCCTTAGAGCTAAGGAGTTTTTTAAATTAATTTATTTATTTCTTTGCTTAATTAATACCTCAAGGGATTCCTCAAGGGATTGTCATTTAGCCTGTGTACAGAAATCAAAGATTTTTACACATTAATTTTAGAAGCTCCTGAAGCTCTTAACCCCTGGATTGTCCCGACATTAACACCTAAAACTAGGTTTAAGCACACTGTCTGCAGCTTAAAGTTATGCCAGGACAGGTTAACCTCTGATCCCTGTTACCCAGCTCATGTTCTATTAATGTGTTGCCACTTTGCACAGATAATCTGCCCAAGTTGCAATTCTCCAGCATCCCAGCCTCCCCTCCTCCACCCTCCTGTTCTGTGTGGACAAACTTTTCACCCTCTGAACTCAGTTGCCCAAGAGGCAGCTCTGGCACCAAGCCAACTCCTCCTCCTACCCCTGTTAGGGTAGCTTATCACATTTATCTTTAGTTCCACCTGCTTGAGTGATAAGTATTATTTGAATTTTCTTGTTTTTTCTGTTTCTGCTTTTTGGTATTTGCATTATCAGCTAGCCTTGAGCTCGCTTTTACAGGCAGCTTATATTCCAGTGTTATCAACATATGCATGTAAAATGTAGGCCTAGTTACCAACTCAAATTAACTGAACTTGGCACTAACCAACTGAATCTGAGAGATGAAAGGATTGGATATGTTAATGTAAGGTGATAAGAGAGAACCAGTAGGCAATGCCCAAAGTGAGACACCAGTAAAAGATCAAATGAAGATGTGTGCATGTGAAGGGTCTGTTGAAACAAGGGAATATGCTGACAGAATAAAATATGAACAGTATGCTGACTGCAAGGAAACCAATCAATGGTACCTGGAAACAGAGTCATCAGAGGAGTGAAGTTGAAGAAAAGTGTAAAAGGGGGCAACAAGAAAATTGAGTATGTGTCATCCTCTATCCAGCAAACAACATCTGTCTGGATTGTACCAGCCAAAAGATGAACCACTAATGACCACTCTCCACTTATGAGGAGAGACTACGGGACCTGAACCTGTTCAGCCTCCACAAGAGAAGGCTGAGGGGGGATCTTGTGGCCTGTTACAAACTGGTCGGGGGGGTCAGAAGGCATTGGGGGAGTCACTGTTCCCCCGAGCACAGCCAGGAGTGACCAGGAACAATGGTCACAAGCTAGCAGAGGGTAGGTTTAGGTTAGACATCAGAAGGTGCTATTTCACGGTCAGGGCGGCTAGGGTCTGGAACCAACTTCCAAGGGAGGTGGTGCAGGCTCCTACCCTGGGGGTTTTTAAGAAGAGGTTAGATGAACACCTTGCTGGGGTCGTTTAACCCCAGTACTCTTTCCTGCCATGGCAGGGGGTCAGACTAGATGATCTTCTCAGGTCCCTTCCGACCCTAGAAACTATGAAACTATGAAACCACCCTCTATTTTCAGGATTGCTGACTGGCCATCAAACCCTGTGGTGAGTAACATCTGGGATTGGGTGAGACCACTGGACTTAGTGTTTTTCTTTATATATATATAGAAGCTATTAAGATAACATTTGATGCATTAATAAAGTTAGATTTTAGTTAAGTGAACTGTGTAACATATTCTGTGTTCACCCTGGATTGATTATGCTTAAGGGATCCCTTAGCACCATCTGGTGGACAGTTGGTTTGGTAACACCCCCAGGGGTGTGACCTTCCACCCCCAGGGGTGCATCCCAATGCAAACAGCCTGCAGAACACATGCCAGTTAACCAGGTTGTAGGCCGTGGATGGGTCCAGGAGTGAGGTCTAGGTGGAGTAGGGGAGGAACTAGGTAGGGGGTTGGATCAGGTCCCCATTAGTTTGAACTTGCTTCCCAGAGTAGGGGATGTAGCTCCCCACAAAACACCTTCCCTCACTTCCCAAGTCTCAGCCACCCCAGGGAAGCATGACCATGAACCCCACACATCCCAAGCCCAAATCCAAATTTACTAAAATGTGAGACCATCCTTAAATTTACTTCCTCTTTGTTCCTTTTCAAAATCTTTTTTTTCCCCACTTCTTTTTATTGCATCCTTCAGTAGCTGACTTCCTTCATTTCACCACCCTTCCCCCACCCCATTTCCTTTCTACCTCACATTTTATTACACACCCCATCCAATTAACACTCTGTCTCTCAGCTACTCACCCCCACAATCCATCTCTTACACACACCCACCTATGGCCTGTCCTGGCTCACCAGCCCTGTACTGTCAACTCACAGCTGTAGCTCCTAGTCAGGCACCTGCTCACCAGCCCTCTAGTGGCAAGTCACAGATCTGCAGGTGGGTGACAGAGAAGGTTTTTAGGCTTAAGCTGCAAACTCAAGCTAGTACTAACAAAGATCAACATTTGCAGATCCCACCAGCCCCCAATCCTGTTCCCTCCCATCCCCCCCAACTTAGATCAGGGTCCCTGATCTTTCAAAGGTTTGTAAAACCAGCATTCAATCTACAGTCACATGACTTAAAGTAAACCACGTGATTGTAGGTCAGATCTCAAGAACATCTGTGCTGTTCTGCGAAGAGGACAATTCAAAGGAAGAATCACTGACTCAGATCAGGCAGTCATTTTTGACCTAATCTTCAAAGTATAATTCTTGCATTCAGCCTTAGAATAAACTGCATGTGTAAATTTTGCATATACCAGAGGTTTGGGCTGCCATTGATAAACTAGTGGCTGAAATCCCAGTATACACAAGGCCTGGAAAATAGCAAAGTTCTAACCATTTGCTTTGTTTCCACATTAGTGATATTATCAAGAGTTCTACCTAAAAATGTGAGTTTATAACATCACTTCCTTAACAAGACTATTATGCTTTCTGTTTGACAGCAAGAGGCATAAAATATTGGTTGGCTATTGCAAACTACTTATATTTGCTAGGGTGAGGGGACAGATTGACACTTGCTCATGAATCAGATGTTTTGAATATTCTCTATTAACTGAGGCTCCACAGATCTGCTACAATGGATACTTCACCCTGCTTTCAATTGTACAATGGGTACAGGAGAATATGCTCCCTCTCACCATCTCATCAGCCACTGTGGCAGTCAGGTTTAACCACGATTAAAGTTTTGTTCTTATAAACTTGAGGTAGGTTATAATTGAGTCTTGCTTTGGAGAAACAGAAGCACAATACAACAGTTCTGACAGTTCTACAAAATGCAATTTAAGGAATTACGTCCATCTGTCTAGTTTAGGGCTTTGTTTGGTGACCATCACTGTGCTGTCTGAGCACCAACAAAGTATTTTTCACTCCCGTGCCATCAGATTTAGAGTCATAATATATTTTCATTTGAAAGTTAATGAATGTGGCTAATTTTGACTGACAATGCAGATTAGGAGGCAGTTACTCTGTGAATAACCTTTAGTTTATTATATTCATTAAGTTGTTCTTATCTTTAACTTTCATAATAATTATTTGACAAATATAGCTGCTAAATTATTGATATTTTATCTCTCCCTACAGTATTTATTACATCTTATTACAGTATCTTATCAGAGTATTTTATTTTGTCTCTACTGATTAATATATGTGCTATATGCATACACAGATATATATTCTTTTGACACTTATTGACTATGGCCAATTTTGACTGACAAAGCAGATTTTAAAAGCGTTACCTTGTGAATAACCTTCAATTTATTGTTTTCATAAAATTGTGCTTATCTCTAAATTTCTGTTTTAGGAAGATAGCTGTTAAATTATTGATATTTTATCTCTTCTTACTTATTATAGAAGTTCTTTACCTCTACTGATAAAGAAGAATAAGAATTTTTCTCTCTCTGCACAGTGCAAAAGCACCAGGAAAATGTTCAGTAGTGAGTTATGATGACATGCATTTTCCTCTGAGTTATTACATGGTATATTCTAAGATGTCATACAGTAATTCCATTCTGCTTTGGGGGACTATTGCTCACACTTATAACAGGACTTGGTAAAGCTAATGTTACTATGATTGCAACAGGGAAAGTTAAATTTATTCATAATGGATTGTTTTAGTCAAAGCCGATCATCTTTACAAACATGTGGCCCATAGATCAGTTGCTAAAAAAATACAAAAATATTGCTTTACTATTGAAATATATTTATATTTTGTAGGGAGCAGGGAGGAGAGCTTGAGACTTGCTCGTGATTTACACCTGTTTTTGGATATTCTGCATCAACCTAAGCTCCACAGATCTGTTACAATGGGAACTTAACCCTTCTTTCAGCTGGATTTTAGGAGAATTTGCTGCCCCTAAAGTTTTCATCATCTTGCTGTGCAGGCAGGTTTAATCAAGTTTCCCTGAT